ATCTTCATCTTCATCTTCATCTTCATCTTCATCTTCATCTTCATCTTCATCTTCATCTTCATCTTCATCATTATCTTTATCCTTGTCCTTTTTTATCTTTAACTTTGTTCTGTTCTTCATGTTTATCATTGGCTTGATCCTTCATTATAGGTTGTGAGTATCTGTGCTTTTGTTGTTGCCCTTGTCCTTTTTTCTGCCCTTATATCTTGCTCTCTGTATTTTCATTAGCCACTTCACAGTGGCGTTAAAAGATCAATGCAGCCGCGCCCTGTCTATTCAAGCATGCGCATTGCATACGTAAAAATTAAGTTTTATTTTCTGAGCAAAAAATAAAACTTAAAACGTGACGATTATTTTCCGAGCAAAAAATAAAACTTAAAACGTAACGATTATTTTCCGAGCAAAATATGAAACTTAAAAAAATAGTCGTTATGTTTTAAGCAAAAAATAAAACATAAAACGTAACGATTATTTTCCGAGCAAAAAATAAAACCTCAAAATCGTTATGTTTTAAGCAAAAAATAAAACATAAAATGTAACGATTATTTTCCGAGCAAAAAATACAACTTAAAACGTAACGTTTATTTTCCGAGCAAAAAATGAAACTTAAAAAAGTAGTCGTTATTTTTTAAGCAACAAATAAAACTCAGTTAATAACGATTAAAAAGCGATTTTTATAATAAAAGTTATAACCGTTACGGTCCCTGATAAAACAAGAATTTAATTTCAAGATTCATTGTTTTACTTATGATATGCCAATTTCGACTTTTTCTATCTTTGTTATGCTTTCGAAATTTTTAATTTCGATCAAATATGTATTCGGTGTAGCCATGGTATTTATTTTTCGTAATTTTAAGTCAAATATTTTTTTTTAGACATATCGTATTGATCCCGTACTGGATTAATCGAAATACTTTCTTACGTTACTTTAAGGTGATAAGGACTGAGATCTAGTGGTAAGTACTAGAACTGAGTGCCGGAGGTCAACGAACTTTGGAGCAAAAAATATGCTCCTCGGGATAAGAGCATCGATATATCATACTTTAAGATCGGACTGTAAATGCCGAAGATATGGAAAATTTAAAAAAGCGACCCTACGTTCGGCCAAAAGGATTTTTTTTTTCGAAATTGCCAATTGCATCCTGAAATTGAAAAATTTAAAAAGGCGACGCCTATCTTTGGCCAAAAAATACCAAGGCTAAAGTTTATGACCTAGCAGACTAGAGATCAATTATAAAAATTCATATGTCGGGGTTTATGATACGATTAGCACCGCCGCACAGTGGTATTCCGGCGGGAAAAGTCATGATACAAGTATTTACAGGTAAAACCGGTAGCACAATTCGTCGGTCATGATTTATATATATATATATTTTTTTAATTTTCACCACTTTCTCTACCATCAATAGATTAGAAGTTGTACGGCGAACTTTTTTCTGGCACAGTCTAATATGCATGATAAATATTACTTCTAAATAATAAAATTACATCCTTGTTTCCCATGAGGGTAAATCGGTACGAATTCGATATGGCCTTATTTTGAAGGGGTATATTTTTTCAAGTACAAAAAAAGCACAACTTAACAAAAGAGGACAATATCGAGTATGTAAAAAGCAATACGCTATATGCTAAGTTTAATGTAGCTGATAGTAATAGTAGTATGCAATTCTTTATTTGCACTTTCAATTTCGCGTTCCCCACCACCCCAAGCAACAAGCAACACTATTTCAATTTTTCTTTTATACTCAAATTCCTACTTGCAAGCGCGCATAAATAAATCGCTAGAGTCAACACTTTTTAGCAATCATCTAAATTAAATTTGATTTTCCGAATGCTCACCTTCTCCTTAACATTATTTAGAAATTCGTAGTGTGTTCGTTTCTTCATTTTCTCCGCATAACGTGCTGTTTCCAGCTCAAATTCATCCGAATAACCCAGACCAGTGTTGAGCATTTGCAGGCGTTCATCAATGAATTGCTGAAATATTTGCAAATCCATCATTTTTGCGAGAAATGGTTGCAAATGTTTGGGACGAGATTCGATAAATTTTTGACGGTTAAATGTTTTGCCTGTTTCGCGGAATTCCACAGCATCACGATAGCCGCTTATCAGTTGCACCAACACGCCAAGAAATATTTTCGAAACACGATCGCCGATATGCTCATGCGATTGACTGAGTTGTTTCTTCATTTGTGACACAATTTTGGCTGGCATTTCGGCCACATCATCGAACGGGCTTTCGAAAATTTTTGTATCACAGTTAAGTATCACAACTTCGCCGAGCTCATCGGTTGTCATCTGCAAGAGAAAATAAGAATTGGAAATAAAAATATTGCAAATAGATTTACTGGGGATGTACTATGTGAGACCATGTAAAATCAGAAATATGCTACAATTAAAAAAGAAATATTGTTATTTATTAATATTTGCTTTTGTTTACAAACCGTTTCGAGCACAGTTTGTGGCACACCAATTAGATATGGCATTGGTGCACTCAAATAGTCTTTCAGCTTCATCGGCAGCACTGGTATGAAGATGTGTTGCCACACCATGGGATAGAGAAACGCATTCGCCGCTTGTATGCACGACGACAAGCGATCCAGGCGTCGCGATGTGAAAATGATGCGTCGCTCCGCCAGCATCGCAGCAAATACTGCAATCATATTCTTTGGATCCACAAAATTATAATACAAATTTAAATTGTGCTGTGGATAAGAAAAATAAAACATTATAATCGTCAATAACACACACACACACACACATTCAATTAAGTTTATCACGCTTAGACTATGACTTACATTCTCGGGTATGCTGGGCAACTGAAACTGCAACGGCCGCTCAAACACGAAATACTGCAATCAAATGAGCACAATTTTATTAGATTAGATTAAATAATTGAAATTGCAAACACCGTTAATTTTAGAACTTACATTTTGACCGCCGTTATAGAATAATTTCAAATGTCCACCCGGATCAGGCACACCGCGATTGTACGCTTCGGCGAGAAATGTGCGAAAGTCATTGTGGGAATTATCGACATTCGTTGTTGTGTTTGCATCACCACGCCGCAGTTCGGCCAGCAGCGTCAACAATCGCAGAAATGTGTCGTGCCATGGCAAGTATGTGATAATTACCATTGCGGTATCTGTCTTCGGGTCGTGACGACAGAAACCAAAACGCCACTTTGAGTCATCTGTTGTGAGTACAAAGGAATAGGATTGCACGGAATCACTGAAAAAAGAACATTTGGAAATAGAATAAGTTAATATTTAGTGAAAAAATTAATGCGTTGTAATTTATAAAAATATTTATAAGAGTGTAGGCCAACAACGTTGGATGGCAAAATTTAAATTTTAAGTGTACGTTTCAGATGTACTCAGAAACGGTAGTCCGAAACCGATTCTCTATATACTCTATGTAAACACAGTGATGATATTTAATCAGATCTGCCTATATTTACGTACAGTGGCATAATGAGTTATGAGATAGAACTGCTACAGCGGAAATCATAAAGTTAGATCCAATTAACCGGGAATTCCTGACTTACCGCCATATTCCCACAACACTGATAAAACTCAGCCGCTGACTATTGTCTTTACCACTGCGGCTAATACTATGCCGCAAATTTATTTGAAGCTCTCGTATCGTGACTATTGTCAGTGTTGTTGTTATGACCTACAGAGTACGCGACAACGGCGTAACAATGTTTATACTTATTGTGTTTTAGGCGCAATAATTTTGACAATAGTCATACGATGAATTTTGTCAGTGTTGTGTACGTTGTTATGGTACGTTCAGTAGCATCCAGGGTTGCCACTGAAGAAAAAAACTTACCATCCGCTAAATAATAGCTACAATTTTTGGAAAAAATCTACCAATAAATAACTTTTTTAGCTACTTCAATAAAAACTTTAGATTTCTTAAATTTATTTTTTTAAATACATACATACATTTGTATTTGTGATAACGAACTTTGCATTTAACTATTTACAAGGTATTTGAGGTCATATTAACGACATCTTTCTTCAATCAAACGCGAAAATTATGAAACTGAATAGCAAAATTTCATCGTTTGAAAGAACTTTAAGACAAATACAGTGACTCAAACAAACGTTCTCATTGTGATTTTTTTTTTCAATATTCAGAGATTTTTCAAGTTAAAACTTAATTGTAAATATTGTTGTTAGTACGAAAATTCGAAATTAACACAACCAGATGGTATAACTTTCAGTGGGCTAACTACACAAAGGAAAATGTTAATAAACAAACAATTTTTTTAAGGGTATATATTTTAGCCCAGAGTTGCTTTTATATTAATAATATATAAACATTAACGTTTTATTGTTAAGTTTAAAAAAGTAAATTGCACCAGTTTCAATTTTGCGCTCTTGGTTACCCTTTTTTGTATTATTTATTATTATTTATTTTACCATTTCTTAATACTAACTATTTTTTATAGGTCACCTAAGAACCCCACAAAATGCTATGGGGGGGGGGGGACCATAGAAAACCGTTGGTATTAAAAAATGGCAAAATAAACAATTGGGTATTATTATTGGAAGTCTCCTAAAGAGAAACAGAGTTTTCCGACCGGAAAATATGGATTTCCGGTGATCCTATGTCATTTCCACGAAAAATAAATTTTTTGCCATGTAAAATACATGGAAAACTTTGAACTAGAGGGTTAGAGCATTCAAAATTCGGACTTTACTTTTTCACACGCATTTTAGGACCACCCTAATTTGCATACAACGCTCGCCATGTATATATGTATTTTCTAATTTAGTCTTTGACTTCCCTGAGTAAACATTGCTCTAGTTATCATTAATCATAATCCTTTACATCAATTAATAAAAAACTATTAAATTTATTTGCTTAAGGGTGTTTTCTTCTTCATTTAAAAACTGATTTTTTTCAAGTTTTACTGTCTTTTTGGGCATGTGTTTACGATTGCCGTGTTCTCATATCACACGTACACAAAGAAATATTTATAGGTATATATACATAACTAGCATTAATTTTTTCTTCACGTGAAACTGTTTTTTTTTAAGTTTTACTGGTTTTTTGATGTTTTGGAGGGTGGGGTATATGTTTACGATTTAAAATACAGTTGGTCTGTCTTTTTCGCATCCCAGACTACCATTTAAAGAAAGAAAATCGGAGGTACCCGACAATTTTATAAAACATCATTCCGGCGAACCGTGAATGGTGAATCCAATATGGCGGCCAAAAAATTAAATTGATTCGGTCAGCTTAAAAACCCAATATGGCGAAAAAAAAATTGACGTCCGTTAGATGCGCTTCAAACTTTACAATCAAGGGTTCTTAAGTTCTCTGTTTAGGAATCTAAGAAACTCCATTCCCTAATATTTTATAGTTTTTGCTTAAATTTGGGCCAGAAAAATTATGCACATCAACAGTCTTTACGATTGTCAAAATTTTGTATGCATTTGTCAAAAATTTCACTAGCCTCATGAGCTAGTGAAATTCTATTCACCTCATACCTGTCAAAAATTTACTCGCAGCGAACTTTGTTACCGATGCACACACGCTCTAAATATAGGAAACCTTTTAAATTTTTGACTTTTTAATTTTTTTTTTTTTTTAACATTTTAGCATACAAATATCACGTAACGCCATATTGAAAATGTCCATATGTGTTAATCGGTTTTGCCACTGTAATGAGTGGCCAAAACGTATGTAACGAAATGTTACATCCCCACAAAAATAATGTTTAATTCCGAGTAAAACTAGGTATCATTTATAAAAATCCATGAATAATTTTGGAAGATATGAATTTTCTAAAAATATCTTCCAAATTACATTCATGTAATTTCACAGAAAAATTGAATCAGTTGACTTTGAGGTTTCAATAATTCGTATGGAAAAATTTGGTACCCTATTTTGCTCGGAATTAAACATTCTTTCCGAAGTAATGACTAAAAGAGAAATTTTTCTTATGAAATTTTGGCAAAAAATGTGGCCGAAATGGAAAAAATAATAAAAATCGGTCTTAATTTCAGATTTATTCCAAACATTTTCCACATATTTACAATTGGTTAAAAATTAACCGAACTAAAAACTCTTTAGTGCCGGAAGTAATGCGGAAAGTGTTTTTTTTTTAAGAATAAGTTGAGAATTTGAGGGTGTTAGAAACATTTTGAAAACAGTTTCTTGAATTAATCGACCAGCTCTACGACCGGTGCTAGGTCACTTTAAAAGTTCGCGCATTTTTTTTTTATTGTGTAACACCGTGTTATAGATATTAAAGAAAAATTAATAGGGGGGTCTCAGTGTTGCCAGGTCTTCGTCATGAGAAAACGTCACTCTTGGTCTGAAAAAACGTAATTTCCTACCCAAAAACGTCTTTTTCGAATGAATGTAGAAAAAATTGTGGAGCTCCACATCAAAACGTTTCATTTCCAAAACTCGAAATGTTAATGCAAATTCCTTGCATTTACTGATATGTGTCCATATTTTAACAGAGAACCCGAGATAAAGCAACCAAACCTTTATTGAGTCGTATTGAAATCACTCGATCGCACCAAAACGTAAAGC